GGGGGGAAGGGAAAGAAGGGACTTGGTAGTGGGGGTCTATTATAGACCGCCACACCAGGAGGATGAGCTAGACCTGGAATTCTCCAGACAGCTCTCAGGGGCTGTACAGTCAAGAGATATGGTTGTCATGGGTGACCTAAACTACCTGGACATCTGCTGGGAGAAGCCGTCAGCCAAATCTAAACGCTCACCTAGGTTCTTAACCTGCATACAGGACCTCCACCTAATGCAGGAGGTATATGATGCCACTAGGGGAAATGCCTTGCTGGACTTGGTGTTAGCTACAGAGGATGACCTGGTGGGGAATCTGCAGGTACAAGGTAACTTAGGGGACAGTGACCATGGACTGATTGAATTCACTATCCGGCAAAGGGTAGGTAAACTAACCAGCAGGGCTGAAGTGCTAGACTTCAGAAAGACTAACTTCAGTGTGCTCAGGAGATTAGTTAGTGAGGCGTTAAAGCTCAAGAACACTGGTGAAATGGGGGTCCACTCAGGGTGGTCATTCCTCAAGGGAGTGATCCTACAGGCACAGAAGGAGACAATCCCATTGCACATAAAAGGGGGCAAAGGGACCAAGAAGCCCTCTTGGCTGAACAGGGAAGTCCAGGAAAGCCTAAGGGCAAAGAAAGAGGTATACAGGCTGTGGAACAGGGGCAGCTACCAAGGAGGAATATACCTCCCCGGCTTGCACTTGCAGGAAGTCAGTTAGGAAGGCCAAAGCAGGATTAGAATTTAGGCTGGCAACGAAAATGAAGGACAACAAAACATCCTTCTTCAGGTATACAGGGAGCAAAAGGAAGGCATAGGATAGCATAGGACCCCTACAGGACAAACTAGGGCAATTGGTGACAGAGAGGGGGGACAAAGCTGTGCTCTTCAATGAGTTCTTGTCATCTGTATTCCTAGACACAGACCAAGACAAAGCTCCCAATTGGATCAGAGACAGACACAGGAGGGAGACCAGCCCACCAACAGTTAGCGCAGACTTAGTGAAGGGGCACCTGGAGGGGCTGGATGTGTTCAAATCAGTGGGCCCAGACGAACTTCATCCAAAGATGCTGAAGGAATTGGCCAGTCATAGTAGAGCAGCTGGCACAGCTGTTTGAGCACTCATGGTGCTCCGGTCAGGTCCCAGAGGACTGGAAAACGGCCAGTATAGTCCCTATTTTCAAGAACAGGAGGAGGGGCCAACCAGGAAACTATAGGCCAGTTAGTCTCACCTCTATCCTTGGGAAAACTCTGGAAAAATCATTAAAGGATCACATTTGTCGGAGCCCAGCAGGGGAAATAATGCTGAAAGGAAATCAGCATGGGTTCACTACAAGTAGATCCTGTCCGACTAACCTTGTTTCTTTTTATGACCAGGTCACAAAATGCTTAGATGCAGGAGTTGAGGTAGATGTCATCTATCTAGACTTTAAGAAGGCCTTTGATATGGTATACAAGGTTCCTTGGGTGAATTTGATATCTTTTATTAGACCAACCCAAATGATTGGAGAATAGTTATTAAGCAAGCTTTCGGGTTCAAAACCCCTACGTCAGGCTAAAGAAGCTTCAGCAGTTGGTGTGTGCTCTTCCTGGATGGAATGATATAGTATCGCATTCTGTTCTCATAAATAAACTGACAGGCTGTGATGTAGATGATTACACAGTCAGGTGGGTGGCAAATTGGCTTAGGGGTCGTACCCAGAGAGGTGGTGGTGGATGGGTCAACGTCAGCCTGGAAAAATGTGGGCAGTGGAGTCCTGCAAGGCTCGGTCCTTGGACTGGTGCTATTCAATGTCTTCACCAGTGACTTGGACAAGGGTGTGGAGAGCACCCTGTCCAAATATGCAGATAATACCAAATTATGGGGCAAAGTTAACACAGCAGAGGGTAGGGAACGGATCCAGGTGGATCTGGACAGGTTGGGAAAATGGGCAGAATGAAATAGGATGCAGTTCAATGAAGACAAGTGCAAAGTGCTGCACCTGGGCAAAAAGAACCACCAGCACACTTACAGGCTGGGGGGTGACCTTATCAGCAGCACAGCAGCGGAAAGGGATCTTGGAGTCATAGCTGACTCAAAGATGAACATGAGTCATCAATGTGACAAAAGTGATCAACAAGGCTAACCAAACTTTATCATGCATTAACAGATGCATGACAAACAGGTCCAGGGAGGTGATACTTCCCCTCTATGAAGCACTGGTCAGACCACAGTTGGAGTACTACGCCCAGTTTTGGGAACCCCACTTCAAGAGGGATGCAGAGAATCTTGAGAGGGTTCAGAGGAGGGCCACTTGTATGGTCAGAGGCCTGCAGGCAAGGCCCTACAAGGAGAGACTGAAGGACCTAGATCTCTTTAGCCTTCACAAGAGAAGGCTGAGAGTGATCTTGCAGCTGCCTATAAATTCATCAGGGGAGGGCAGCAGGGAATAGGAGATGCTCTCTTTACTAGGGCACCCCTGGAGTAACTAGGAGCAATGGCCACAAAGTGTTGGAGAGCAGATTTAGGTTGGACATTAGAAAGAACTTCTTCATAATAAGGGTTACCAGAATCTGGAATGGGCTTCCAAGGGAGGTGGTGCTCTCCCCTACCTTAAGGGTCTTCAAGAAGAGACTGGACAAGCATCTAGCTGGGGTCATCTGACCCCAGCGCTCTTCCCTGCCCAGGGCAGGTTGGACTCGATGACTTACTGAGGTCCCTTCCGACCCTAACATCTATGAATCTGTGATATCAGGTAAAACTCCTAGGTAACATGCTGGCTTCTGGGAGAGGCATTTGCTGCCCTGACCAGCTCTGTGCTAGCCTCACACTTAAAAACTGGTGTGTTGAAACTCCCTATCATATCAAGGAAACTAAGATGATAGATTTGGTGCACAGAAGGGATTTTTCCAATGAAAGAAAACTTCCATATCATCCACTTCAATGCCTACCCACACCACAAGCCTGGGGCATGGGCAAACAGAATTCAGAGGCAGCATGCGACTCCCTTCCCTTCCTACTACATGCCTAGCAGTAGGGCTGTATGAGGCTCCGGACAGAGCTTCGGATCCAGAGAAGCTTCAGAGGCTTCAGGGTCCAAAGCAGCATGTCCAGGTAGAAGCGCTGGCCTCGTTACACTTCCCGAAGCAGTTTGGAGCTTCTGAAGCACTTCGGAGCCGCCTCAGAGATCCGGCCATAGGGTATAATGGGGAAAGAATAAAATATCTATAACTTTGTTGTTTTTTGTCCAATTTGGCTAAATTTTCAGGGGTGGTAGACTCTGCATAGAGGATGAAGCCTGCCAAGTTTCAAGAAGATCAGTGCAGTGGTTTTGTGGGGGGAATGGCACCCCACATTATTGAAAGCAAAACTCATGTCATGTCTAGGCATTACAACATAATGGGGTGAAAACTGCAGGGGTTGTAGCTCTTACTGAGGCCACAAAGCCTGCCAAGTTTCAAGAAGATCGGTGCAGGGGTTTGGGGGGGAACTGCCCCTCAAGCTGCAGACAAGCAAAACTCATGACATGGGTGATTGTAGGACTGAGTGTGTCTGTCTTGGGGCAGGGAGACACTACCGCAGGTCTGGCTGCTAAGCTACTGTGTTACCAGTTACCAGTCAATCATGATTCACTCAGGGACCAGCTCAATACACAGGACCTAGCTACTACATAACGACTTAGCAAGCAACAATTAGCACCTAGAAAACCAGGCTAAGGAGAGGAAAGAATCAATACAGACAATCAACTGCCCCAAGACAGAGACAGTCTTGGCACGAGTTTTGCCTGTCAGCAGCTAGGGGTGCAGGGCCCCAGAACCCCCCTGCACCAATCTCCTTAACAGCTGGCAGGCGTCGTGGCCTCAGCAGGGGCCACCTTCCCTGCAGCTGTCACCCTGCTGTCCCTTAACACATGCAGTGTCACCCATGGCACGAGTTTTGCTTGTCCGCAGCTTAAGGTGCAGTTCCCCCCAAACCCCTGCACCTATCTCCTTGAAACTTGGCAGGCTTCGTTGCCTCAGTAAGAACTACCACCCCTGCAGTTTTGCCCCCTCCCCCGTGGTGTGACACACAGCCGTGACATGAGTTTGGCTTTCAAGAATTTGG